AAATATATAACTTATTTATTATATATTTATATAATTTATACATATAACATAATTTATTCCATTCTCCATATATTGTATAAACATACATATTTATTATAAATATATAAGAAAATAAATCTTTTAAAAAGTATAAAATTAATATTAATAAACAATATTTGTTCTGAGGTTAAAAGCATTCTTCCATGTAGATAATGGTGTGCGTGGAAGGTATATGCTGTAGATAAATTCAGTCAGATACTGACTACAGTTCCAATAACTACCTGAGGTAAGAAAACAGCTTACAGCTGGCTGAGGAGGACAATCACCCTACCAAGGCTTTCACTCTCAAGCCAATGAGAAGACAGACAGAATGACCATCTCACACATTGGTTAGCACTGTACTGTTATTGTCAACTCTGAAAGACCAGAAGCAATATATACTATATACATGTAATACAGATGTTCATATGTTTATGTACCCATATCCATATATGGCTATGCAGTTTATATTTTCCACCTGTCAATGTTCAAAGACTAAAATGAAAAATAAGAAAACCTAAGTATGGTTTTTATTTGGGAAAATGATATAATGTACATATATGCATATATACTTATGAGCATACACACGACACACAAGTGTAATCACACAGTGGGCATATTCACGTGTATTGATACATGTATGCACACTCCCTTTATTGCGTATAGACTTAGCTTTATTTTAGATAGTTACTGCAGATGCTCAATCTGGGCTCTCGTTTTTTTGTTTGTTTGTTTTTTCCATTGTCAAATGGAGAACAAATCACAGAGGAGGCCAAGTAAATAATGGAGCAGACAACTTTATAACCTGCAGTGACAATGAAGGTTTTAATCTGGAAGCTGTCGACTTTCTCACTTTTCCCTCTCAGCAATGTGGGCCATAAACCAGCCTTGGGTTCCCTGAGGTTCACTGCAGTATGTTCATCCTTCACCCTCACTCGAAGGCAGGAAGACCAAACAGCTCAGGCTGGAAGTCCTGTAGGGAACCCAGCACCAGGGTGGCTTTTGTGGTCAAGTCTTTGCTCAAGTTTTCATCAGGTACCATGATCACCTGCATCCCACAGGCTATGGCTGCCTCCACTCCATTAGGGGAATCTTCAAAGACAAGGCAGTTTTCTGGAGCCGCAGGAGGAGAGAACCTCTTGGCACAGACAAGAAATACGTCTGGGGCTGGCTTGCCCTTAGTTACCTCAGGATCGTCTCCCAGAACGACGTGATTAAA